TTACTCCTGTTCCCCCAAACATCTCTCTGATCCTCTTCCCCCTCTCCTCCAAAAGGCTCACCTCCTTGCTTCCCACAATTTCTCCTTTATTTTATTCTTTGCTTAATTTACGTTTTGGATTTCTCATAAGAGAAGCCATGCAGTATTTAACTTTGTATTAACTTCACTTGACATTGCGGTCTGCTGTCTGTTTCCAAAGCTTAGCCGTTGTGAGTGCCCGGCTGTACGCGTGAGTGTGTGTAGCAGTTGACGCTGCATGACGTCTGTAGCTCTGAGGGATCAGCCCAGTGTGACGGAATCTCACATCTGCAGCCTGCCATGCCCGCCCTGAACATGCCCCGTCTTGTCTAACAGAATTGCAATTGTAGTTTTTTGAGGAATTGTCACCTCTCTCCTGTTTTTTTTATGTATGTAGTACAGGGCCTCACTACACAGACTGGCCTCGCAGCGGTCCTCCTGGCTTCTCCCTCTGAGGCCCTGGGCTCCCAGCACGTGCCAGCACGCCCCGTCTCAGCCGCCGTCTCAGCCGCCGTCTCGGCACCCCCGGCACAAGGCCGGCGAGCATGTGTATCCTCTCTGTTTTTCCTTATCGTTCCGGCACAAGTCCAGTGCTGTGCTGAACAGGAATGAGAGGAAGAATTTAATGGTAGAAAATTTATTCACTGAAATTGCAGAAAATGTTCCACATTGAGGTAGTGAAATGGACACCCAGGCAGATGAGGCATTTAGAACCCCAAATGGACATGACCACAAAAGAACCTCTCCGCACCATGTCATGGTCAAAATCCCAAAAATTCAGAACAAAGAAATACTAAAAGCTGTTAGAAGAAACATCTTACAAAGGCAGACATATGAGAATCACAGCAGATGTTGTTCACAGTGGGTGGAAACATAGCAACCTCTAAATTCATCGATCATCTTAGTAATTCCTTCAGGATAGCTGCTTGCTGGTCACTCTGATCCCTGCAGTTGATTTAGCTGTTTCTTAGTGCCTATAAAATCAGCTTTTGGGAAGTTCACAATTTGGGGGGGGAGGTCCTTGTAGTCTTGTTTTCTCATGCTTGTGTTGAAGGCTGTAGGTGAGCTGGAGTAGGAAGCTGTGCAGCTGGAGGGGCCCTCCAGAGAACATGGGCTTTCCTGGGTGCACCGTGGCTGGCAGTGAGGAGGCTGCGGCGCCTGCTCTGCCCACTCCAGGCATGGCAAGGCTCGCCCCGTGGCCTTCCAAGGGCAGAGCCGGTGCTGCTGCTGATCGCGTGCAGGGAAGTCGGATGAAGGAACAGCGATCAAGAATAGGCTGAGAAGTAGAAGAAAAAGGAAAGGGAGTGAAAGAAAACAATGAGGTAAAAGGACAAAAACATAAGGGTTGATGATACTATTTTTATGTTGGACAGGAGCACAAGGGAGAGGTTTGACCACATGAGGGACAAAGATAAGGAAGAGGGGAGGAAATGTAAGTCGAAGTGTAAGAGGCTTTACAAATGTTGGAACTGACACATTACTCCTGTAGAACCGGTACTGGAAGACGTGAAAAACGACCCTTGGTGAAGGAGAAGCTAACCGGTTGGTCAGTGCAGATCACCACAGGATAAAGTTGAGGATACATCTGGATGCTGTAATGCTTAGTGAAATAAATCGGGCACAAAAGGCTGCATGTCACATGATTTCTATGAGATACCTGAAATGTAGAGAGCAAAGATGATAGGAAAGAGACTATTGAGATAGAAGTGGATCTGAATAGCGGAGACTGGAAAGGAAGAGAAGGGGTAGGAAGGGTTGGACAGGTACCAGTTCCCCAATACTATGTATTGCAAACATACAACAAAAAACTAGGGGCTGGTGAGATGGCTCAGTGGTCTAAAGCACCTACTTAGAAGAAGCTAAGCAAAAGCACAGTGACCACGGTTCAATCCCCAGCACCACATGCCAGCCAACCCCGCCCCCTGGTGGGCTGAGCTGGCCACACACACACACACACACACACACACACACAAAATAAATAAATTAATTAAAAAAAATCAGATTGATTAAAAAAAAAAAAACTAGCGGCACATGCCTGTGATCCCAGCACTCAGGAGGCTGAGGCAGGAGGGTCTCCTCCAGTTCAAGGCCACCCTGGGCTATGTAATGAGTTTGAGACTAGCCTGAACTATAAAGCAAGATCCTATCTCAACATAAGAGCTTTCCCTTGTTGCTTTTTCTGTCTTCTGCCTCCATGAACTCTCTCCTCTGCATGCTCCTCTGCCAAGCCTCCCTCTGCCTTGGAGCCAGCACAAGTGTGGGCTAAATAAACTTTTCCCCTTGCATAGGTCCTGCTTTACCTTGGTCTTAACCATCCAGCAGAAAAGAATGAAGACGAAATTATAAGAAATAAAGCCATGCTGTTAAGTTGAGCTGTGGGGGACTCAGGTCAATAATTTCTGACATTGCCAGTTAAACAGAAGACCCAATGCTATTATGGGCTACTGGACTCTTTTAGAATATTTTGCTGAGTTTACACACCTATAATATTCAATAACAGAACTTAGAAAAAATGGGGTATACAGATGAATGTCCATTTTGTATCTGTGTATTCAAAGTGGCTGGGATAGATATATAGTTACATTCTGTTAAAGAATAGAATGATTTGTTCTAATGGTGTTTGTAAATAGGATAACAAGTCCGCATCTTTTACAGCAATTAACCACTAAGAAGAATATATGCAGTGTATTATTTGTTGAAAAATAAAAAAATAATAAAAAATAAAAAAATAAAAATAAATAAATAAATAAATAAAAATAAATAAATAAACTTTTCCTCCTTAAAAAAAAAAGAGAGAGAGAGACAAAACTACTACATTTGATTGTGGGACAATAAAAGATAATTTGAAACTACACATTTCAGGTTTTTCAAAATAAAGTTCGTCCAAGAACTGAAAAATGCAGCAGGAGGCTTCCAGATGCGCCCTGCAGTGCAGAGCTGTCGCTACATCACTCAGGTTAAATGGAGACAACTTGCGTTATTCTGCATTAACCTTCTGGAGCCTCAACTGAAAAGCCAATATTTATTTTATGCTCTTAATGTGACACATAAAATTCTTACAGATTTTAAGACTGGTCAGATTGTCCAAGTTTCCAAATATCTTCACAAGCAAAATTTCAGATAATTTTAGTGTGCTTAGGTTCCTGCTCAATACTACTTTTCTTCTACACCATATTGTCATCTAGGATGCATTGATAATTGCATTTGCAGATAGTCAGGAGTCTGGAATGTTGTACATCATCAAGAAAAAAGACAATTCCAGATTGGCTCTGCCTGATGTCTGTATGAATTCTAGGCAGAGGAAAAATCTGTGACAGATGCTCAGTATAACGGGGTTTCTTTTTCTTTTTTGTTTCTTTTTTTTTTTTTTTTTTTGCAAAACCAGGGATTGAACTCAGGCCCTTGTGCTTGCCAGGCAAGCACTTTTTCTACTGAGCCATCTCCCCAGCTCTCATCTTTTTAAAGAAAAGTTCTCAGCCAGTATTTTTATGTACTGGCTTTAAGTACTGGGTTTTCACTATTGACCACCATTACTTATTATCAAGTATATGAACCCGGCTTTAGTGGATTAGCGAGTGGTCAGCTCGGAACGCCCAACTGAACCAAGGCAGTGTGCTGGAGTGGAGGGCCCTCCTAAGGGCTGTTGCCAGCAGCATTAAAGGACAGCTGAAGGGGAAGATGGCACACTGTTGATTCTCCTGGAGAAGCTTTTCATGCTGGCTTTCCTGCTGTGAACTCTCATTACTGGAAGAGCTCAGGTCCTGGCTGTCACTTAAGAGGTTGTGGTACCTTTTGGGGGAGCTCTGGTCCTTACCATGAATGTCATTTGTGGCGTCAGTTCAGATCCTTCATCCCACTGGCACAGACTTTCTAGCTTCCACCTCTGACCTTTGGGCCTTCTTGGTGCAGATCCTTGATACAGACTTGCATGAGACATTGTGGGCTCTGGGCCTCCAGCTGGACTCACGCGGGACCTTGGTGTGGGCTCCAGGCCTTCAGCCAGATTCCTTGGGTCGCCAGTGTGTGAACAGATCTCTTGTGCGTTTTTTGTTTTTTGTTTTTTTCTTTTTCCTTACCATAGAGGATCAAACTCAGAACCTTACACTTGCCATGCAGGCGCTTAAGCTGCGGTACTGTATCTCCAGCCCCCTTGCACACTTCTGCACTTGACTTTTTGGTTGAATATTATAAAATAATCTTATAAGTTATGTGTCCTGTATTAAACCTGTTCCCTTGTAAGCCCTGACTCCAGTGGTGGCTCTTTAATATGTGGGCAGAATGGTCCCCTAAGATACGCTGTCATCTTCCCCAGAGCCTGTTAGTGTGTCTTTCAGGGCAAAGGGAACTAAGGCTGCAGGTGCATGGCAAGTTGACAACCAGTTGGCCTTGAGAAGGGGAGGTGTTCTTGGGTTGTCTGGGTGCAGGAGAGAAGGGAATGGCTGTGCACAAACTCAACCCGCTCTTGCTGGCCAGGAGCCTGGCAAGAAGGAAGGAGGCAGAAGCTCCCTGAAAGCCCCTGGAAATCTGGGATGTGCCAGGTGACACTGAGTTTAGCCCAGAGACCTGCAGCTGATCTCTGACCGCTGGGAATCGATAGTTTGCCTCAGCTCCCATGTTTGTATTGGTATGTTACATCAGCAAGAGAAAGGATACTGCTGTCTCCTGGAGACTGTCAGGAGCACTGTAAGGTTGTTCACAAGCTTTGTGTAACTTTGCCTGAAGTTGGACTGTGTGTGTACACCTCCAGCTGCTCCTACAGACACAGAACACACGCCCTGATAACATCATGACAGTGGGGTTGACAGATGGGTGTGTGCTACTATAGCGAGGATATTAACTCTTATACATGACTCTTATTTCCAGAAAGCTGAGAGCCAAACTTAGAGTTTATTAATATTATACTGCTTAAGAATACAGGCTCTGGGGCTGGGGAGAGGCTCGGCAGTCTAAGCCCCTGCCTGGCAAGCACAAGGCCTGGGCTCAATGCCTGCGAGCCAGGGAACTCCAGGGACGCGTTGCGGGCCACCAGCCACCGAAACGGGGCGTGGTGGCACACGCCTGTAATCCAGTGCTGGAGAGGCTGAGGCAGGAGGATCGCTACAAGTTTGAGCTGGTAAAACCCTGTACCAAGTAAAAATAAGCTTTTTTAAAAAAAATTAATAAAAAAATATAGGCTCTGAAGTGGTTTGTGGTTTCAGATTCCTACTCCAACTTTGTTAGCTGTGATATTGTTGGGCAAAGAACAGCCTCTCTCTGCTCTGGTGGCCTGGTCTGTAAAATGGAGATGCCAAGTATCTGCCCGCACAGGGACCAAGTAGGCATCTGCCACAGTATCTGTCACGTGTTCAGCCAAGGCTTGCTGCCTGGAGGTGTACTGCACCTCTGGGAGGAGTCACTTCTTCTTCACTTTATAGTAATAGTATTGTTTTACTTCGTTCTTTCTCATTTTTGCTCTTCTATGGATGTAACTTGTCTCAGTTTCAAGAATAAAGTCAGTGTGCAAAGCAGGGGAAACTTTGTCACAAATTGTAAAAATATAACTAAAATCAGAGCACAAAAAACTGCAGAGGTGGGGCCAGGGAGATGGCTCAGTAGAATAAGCGCTTCCCTGGCAAGCGCAAGGGCCTGAGTATAATCCCCAGTACGGGGGGGGGGGGGCTGCAAAGGCGTGTAATTGAACACCACAGACGTGAATTCAGCCATAGCATCCGTGTCTCCACAAGGAGGCCACCAGCAGGCAGGTCTAGCTGTCTGCGTAATCTCGCAGTTCTCAGAATCTGCTGCCCTAGGGAACAAGTTCGCAAGTCCTGGGAGAGAGACTGAAGCGGGCGTGGCTCACCCTCCGCGGCGAAGGGATGCGGGAAGGCAGGAGGCGCTGCGCAGGGACACTGCGTGGGCACGCGAAGCCTCTGGCCCTGCTGTGGAAGGCTTCCGGCAGCACGCCTGCTGCAGGCCTCCGTCCTAGGCTCGGCACAGCCTCGATGCGGGTTAGCGAACGGAAGTGGCAGGCAGGTTGTATCCGGTGAGCGCCTGGGCCTTTCGAGAGGCCGCGGAGTGGTTAGAGACGGTGGCGACGACCCTTCCGCTGCTCCCCAGGGATCCTCACAGAACCGCCGTCCCAAACCGGGAAACCGGGAGCCGAGCGCGGTGGTGCCGCGCGTGCCAGTCTCGCTTCCCGCACTCTCCGTCCTGGAATCCAGCTCCGGGCCCTCGCTGCGTTCAGCGAAGAACGTTCCTGAGCGTTTGCTTGCGTTTCATGCCCATTCCGCTTTACGGACTCTGGGTAGCTGTTCAGTGGAAGCCCTTTGAACTGGGGCTTCCCTGGGGCTTCTTGCCATTCCTTACAGAGTGCCCGCAGCCGGGTCCCCCTGAGCGCCCCCTCCGCAGATAGGGCTGCGTCTCCCAGTGCGCGCCGGCCAGATCCCGCGCGCGGTCTGTCCTTTGAAATCCAGAGCGATCTCGCTTCACACACCGCTTTCCTGAAAGATGTGCCGGCGGAGTGTGGCCGGCTACCCACGCCGCCCGCAGCCAGGGACTCCGTCTCCATGAGCGAGGGTCTACCAGGGAAGAGCGGCGAGGACGCTGTCTTCGGCCACCCGGCCGCCTGTCTGCCGCCACCTCCGCCCCAGCCAGCAGGGGGCAGCAGCCTCGCAGCCAGCGGTGGCCTGAGCGAGGCGACCGTCCTCCCGCGGCGGGGCTTCTGCCAGGCGAGATGGACGAGGCCCCACGGCGGGCTGCGCTGCGCTGCGCTGCGCTGCGCCCTAAGGCCGCCGTGAGCCGCCGCCCCGGGAGCTCCTGCCGCTCCTGGGCTCCGTCCTGGGGAGGCCGGCGTCCCCTGGAGCTGCTCCTGCCCCGGTCTCCGGGGCTCAGGGTCGCCCAGGGCACGCTGACCCCACGGACACCCGCCCCGGCAGGCGAGGCTCTGCGTGTCCCGGACGGCGACTGCGGGCCTGTGACCTTGGCGAGAGCACCCTGCCCGCGGGCCACGGTCAGCTCACGGCGCGCCCGGCCCTCCTTCGTCGCGGCCGCTCCGACGACCCGCGCGCCCAGACCGAGGCCGGGCGGCTCTGAGCCGGGCCCGGGCGCGGACGC